TACTGCCTTAAAATGGCTTCTACTGTACTGCCTTAAAATGGCTTCTATTGTACACCGCTGTGGAGTTGCCATGGTAACAGCTTCACATTAATGCACAAGGGGGCTCCCTCTCAGCCCTCCAAGGAAACTCCAGGCGATTGGCCAAGTGCAATCAAATGCTGTAAGAATGAAACACCGGCGTAGACAAGAAACTCTTGAGGAGAGGAATAGCAGACTTGCGATGCTGCGCGAAAGACAGTACAAGAGCATGAGTCGCGACTACAGCAGTGGGGTTATATTGTATATAAGCAGAGAGCAACCCCCCCTCCCTTCTAGCCTTGATGATGTTCCCTAGTCGGGTCATGAAACGTCTGCAAGAAAACTACCCAGCTCAGGGAACACCAAGGACAACCCCCCCCTCCCCATGTCAGCCTCCATTAAGGTATTGAGGTTTAAGAGCTGACCAGTTGCTATAAGGCTGATGCAATGTAAGACTAATGCAATGAGGATGAATCAGCATTGGTATTGCCTTTTTAAGACTGTGTATGGGTCCACAGAACCCTTTACCTCTTTAAGAGGTGTCTATATAAATGTAGCCATTAGAGGGTGTGTTTTTTTCTCTTCTCCTGTATGCATTAGAGTTCTCTGTGTAGTGTTAAGAAGATTGATTGCTTGTCAGGTACTTGCCTGCCATGTATATTTCTGTATATGCCTTGTATATAAACCACTGTTAAATGTCTACGTCTCTGTGTGCTGTGTTTTGCTCCTGGGTTATCTCACAATGGTAGTCACGCCGCAAACGGTGACAACCTCCTCATCCAGCTCCAGTGAGGCAGCTCTGGCCAAAAAGCATCACTTACCAGCCGTATCTTTTCCGAACTCCGGGGCCCCTCCGAACTATCGTAGATGATCTTCTGGAGACCGCAGGTGGCCTTGACGGTGCTGTTGCTGTTGTTGGACGAGAAGTTGGCCTTGTAGTCCGGCGGCTGCTGGATCATGGGCCGCACCGTCGCCGTGGTGACCGCTCGGCTGGGCGCCGCCACGCCGTCCTCCTGGCTCTTCGCCTCCTTGAAGAACTTCTCGTACTTGTCCAGGTACGGCGGACGCTCGGGAAGGAGATAGTAGTGGGTGCTGCTGACTTTGCGTCCGTCCTTCACGATGGGCAGGATGCAGGGGCCCTTGACGCTCTCCTTCCCCTGGGCCTGGATGACCTTGGGGGTGGCATATTTGGGGTCCAAGGCGAAACTCTGGGTGGTGGGCATGGGGTGCTTCCCGGGGGAGGTGGACAGGAAGGCCCCCAGAGAAAGCGGGGAGCAGAGGTTGCTCCTCGGCTGGGGAGACCCGCCGTGGAGGGCCCTCGGGCTGGGAGTTCTGGATCCCGGTTGGGACAACCGATCTCGCGGAGGGATCTGGGGCGGGCGGGCTTCCTCCCCTACTCCTCCTCCGGAAGCGGGTGAGAGGTCCCCGGACCACCGGCTGGGCTCGTTCCGGCGGAACGGGAGGGGCAGGATGGGCACGCGTGGCGGGATTTGCGGCTTGTCATCCCCTGGACTGGTGATGGCGGCCACGGAAGGTCCCCCCAAGGGGACATTGAGGTGCTTCATGCATTCCTGCTGGAGTTCTTGGAAGATCTCCGTGGTTTGAGCCGGGCTGGGTTGCTTGTTCTCCTTGGGGGGCAGGAAGAGGTTGTCCTCCAAGGGGAGAGCCGGGCGGTCTCCTTCGGGGGCGAAGCCGCCGTTGAGCTCCCCCCCTTTGTCCCAGGCTCGGCCCCGCGCCCGTCCCACCAGCCCTTCGGTGCTGTTGATGGAGGAGACCTCAAAGTCGTCCTCGTCTTGGGCCACGTCGTCGTAGGCCGGCGGGGGAGGCAGAGGCCGGGCGTCCCAGTCCACGATGGGCGTGGGGTGCAAGGGGCGGGGCAGCGCTTGGGTGGGGCTCTGGGGAGGGGTCTTGTCCAACAAGGAGAAGGCCTCCATGGCCAGGCGGGCCAAGGAGGGGGCGCAGAAGTCCCCGACGGGAGACGGGCTGGCGGGAAGGAGCTCGTCCCCAAAGTCTATGAGGGTCACCTCGTTCGCGACGGGGCCGCCCCCTCTGGAGTGGGGCAGCAGCAGCCGCTCGCCCACCTTGGTGCCGGAGACGCAAGCGGAGGGCTTGGGGACCTGCAGGCCTCCTCGGACCCCCGACCCGGCTTTCTTTTTCAGGCAAAGTTGCTTGAGGCTGATCGCCAGGGGGGGCTCTTCCTCGTTCACTGGGTCGTACAAGGGCTCTGAAAGACAAAAGGCAGGCTGTGGTTCTTTTTCTTTCTTTCTTTCTTTCCTCCTTCCTTCCTTTTTCTTTCTTTCTCTTTCTTTTCTTTTTCTCTCCCCTTCCCTTCCTTTTCATTTGATTCTTTTTTCTTTCTTTTCTTTCTTGTCCTTTCTCACTTTTTCCTTTACTTTCTTTCTTTTCCCTTCCTTCTTACTTTCTTTCCTTTCCTCCTTCCTTTCTTTCTTTCCTTTCCTTCCTTCTTTTGTTTTTTCTCACTCTTTCCTTTCCTTACTTTTTCTCCCTTTTTCTTCCATCCCTTTTTTCCTTCCTTCCTTCCTTCCTTCCTTCCTTTCTTTTTCTTTCTTTCTTTCTCTTTCTTTTCTTTTTCTCTCCCCTTCCCTTCCTTTTCATTTGATTCTTTTTTCTTTCTTTTCTTTCTTGTCCTTTCTTACTCTTTCCTTTCCTTTTTCTTTCTTTTCCCTTCCTTCTTACTCTTGCTTTCCTTTCCTCCTTCCTTTTTCTTTCTTTCCTTTCCTCTCCTTCCTTCTTTTGCTTTTTCTCACTCTTTCCTTTCCTTACTTTTTCTCCCTTTTTCTTCCATCCCTTTTTTTCCCTTCCTTCCTTCCTTCCTTCCCCCCATCCCTCCCTTCATTTTTATCCTACTTTTATTACTTTATACTTTTATTACTCAAGGTAGGGAACGCACCTCATATTCCTTCTTACTCCTCTCTTTTCCCCACAACAATCTTGCAAGATGGGTTAGCCCCCCCCCCCCCGCCGAGAGTCACTGGCCAAAGCCATCGATCTGGCTTTCAGGCCTAAAGTGGGACTAGAACTCCCCGTCTCCTGGTGATTGAAAGTCACCAACCTGTCTTTCACGCCTAAGGCGGGACTGGAATTGTCTCCTGGTTTCAGTCATAAGTAGCCCTGGTTCAGTCCTGCCGTAATTTCGAATGGCTACTGAACGAGTGGTTGTTAAGCGAGGACTCCCTGTACTCTTAGCGGAACAGCCCAGGGGGAAAATGCACCTGGCCACCCCTGGTGAATTTAGGAAGGGCAGAATTCCTCCATCAAGGGAGACCACCTGTTTGTCTGGGCCTCTATGCTTCTCTCCAAGATCTTCATTAAAGTCCACACACACACACACACCCATTTTTAGTGGTCGAGGCCAGGTTAATGGGGGATAGGCAGTGGTCATAGCATGCCCCCCCCCCCTGCCACCTCAGGCAGAAGGAATGACCTGTAGAGACAGGACGAGGGAAAGCCACAACCAAATCAACCATCAGATAAAAGAAACCCGAGTCTGGGCCAGAACTGTAATCGGAGAAAGAGTCTGAAATAAGCCCCTCCCCATTTCTCACGCAGATAAAGGGAGGAAAGGGGGAGAAAGGCATTCAGGGGGTTACTATCACCTTATGTCGGGGGTGGGAGTCAACTGGTGTAACAACCAGTTTGGTGAGCCCATAGGGGCGGGTAGGCGGGGGCCAACCAATCGCCGGAACAACCGGTTGTTCGCTTGAACCGGTCTGAACCCAGTAGAATCCCACCTCTGGCCTTATATTAAAAATAGCCTCCTCGGCACATGTGGTGTTCCTATCGTGGTCCTGCCTCAAAGGGCTGACCAGACCCTATCCAGAAAGGAACAAAGAGAAGAGAAACACAAGAGGCACAACAGCTGGAAACATGGCCCCACTTACGCTTGAGAAGGATCGAAGGCTGGGGCGGCCGAGGTGGCGGCTGTCCTGCAGGAGCGAGAGAGAAGAGAGAGAGAGGAAGAGAAGAGAAGAGAGAGACCGCAGCGAAAGGGAAAGAAAGATAGCAGTGCGTTAGTGGGTGGCTTCACGCGAGGCGGGAGGAGCAGAGGGAGAGCATAAGAGGCGGTGCACAGGGAGTAAATTGATAGGGCCAGGAATGACCCCCTAAGGCAGTGATGGAGAACCTCTTTGCTGTGGGGTACCGAAAGCACTTGTGCATGCACTATCGTGCGCGCGCATGTGCCCCGCCCCCCCTGCGCATGCACGCTCAACACTGAGCCCCCCGCCCTCTTACCTGCATTGCAAATGCACGCACCTTCCCAGTTGATTTTCAGCCCGCTTGAGGCCGTTTTTGCCCTCCCAAGAGGCTTGGGAGCCCGAAAAATGGGCCCATTTTGGCACTTCCGGAAGGCCCGTTTTTCGGCCTCCCCAGGCTGCAGAGGCTTCCCCCTCGAGCCTCCAGGAGGGCGAAAATGGCCTCAAACGGGCAGAAAATCAGCTGGGAGGCGAGCGCATGCGCAGTGCAGGTAAGTTTGGCTGGGGCTCACGTGTCCACACAAATGGCTCTGCGTGCCACGCGTGACATAGGTTCACCATCACAGCTCTAAGGGGTCAGGGAGAGGTCTCACCCCCTAAAGGGCTCCCAAAATGGCCTGTTTTTGGTGGTTTTCTGGGCCATTTTCAGGCTGTTTTGGGGGCTATTTTCAGGCCGTTTTCAGGCTGTTTACAGGCTGTTTTTTCATGCCCAAAATGGCCTGGAAAACAGACTGAAAACTGCCCTAAAACAGGCATAGTAGCGCCTGAAAATGGCCTGGAAAAGGCCCCCAAATAGCCAAAAAACAGGCCTATTTTCAGACCATTTTTCATGTCAAAAATGGCCCGAAAAACAGCCTGAAAACGGCTCCAAAAATTTTCATGCCAAAAATGGCCCAGAAAACACCCTGAAGACGGCCCCCCAAAAAGACTGAAAATGACCCCAAAAAGGCCTGAAATGGCTAAAAACCAGGCCTATTTTCAGGCTGTTTTTCATGCCAAAAATGGCCCGGAAAACGGCCCTAAAACAGCCTGGAAAAAAGGCCCGAAAAACAGCCTGGAAATGGCCAAAAACCAGGCCGTTTTTCAGGCCTTTTTTCCGGCACTCCGATACCTAAGAAAACCAGCTGGCTGGCGCGCATACACCAGAAACCAGGAGAGGAGCTTTTATAAAGGTGCTGGGAAAAAGCCTGGCCCTCGCACTTATGGCCGTTCCTCACACTTACAACCGCCGGGCCACCCACATGGTTTGGATGCTTGGCAACTGGCTCCCATTTTACGGCCCAACTGTCCTGCGATTACATTTTGAGAGTTTTTCTGGCCCGTTTTCCAGCAACGAAAACAGCCCTTCGGTACAATGGGTTCGGACTTACGACTTCTGGGTTTCACTTTAGGACTGACAGGCACAAAAATGGTGGCAGAGCCGGGTTCGAACCGACTTACGGCCGCAAGTACTTTATGACGGAAATGCCCGTCCCGACTGTGTTGGCCCGTTAAGTTGAGAATTACTTGTATGGGAATCTTTTGAAATGGGGTTCTGCAACAAGGCCCTGAAAGCGGAAGGCACTGCAAGTGAGAGAGAATAAGGAAACACACCGAAATGCCCAGGAACCCGTTGCAAAGATTTTGTCTGAGAAAATAGCCCTCTCTCGAATGGTTAGATGTGCTGGCACTACAACTTCCATGGTTCCCATCCATCCAGGAGGAGAGGGCCGGCCCAAGAAGCACAGTTGGTGCAGGCTCCCCATTTTTACTCTGCCTCAGAGTATCGGATGCCCCCTGAGCTTGGATTTTTTTTTCCTGACAGACGTTTCATTATCCAACCAGGTAACATCATCAGTGCTAGAAGGAGGAAAGGTTTGCAGAAAGGAGGAGGAGGAGGACTGTGGGGTCCCTGCTATTCTCTGAGCTTGGTGGTTTTCTGGCAGACGTTTCATTCTCCAACTAGGTAATATCATCAGTGCTAGGAGGAGGAAAGGTTTGCGGAAAGGAGGAGGAGGAGGACTGTGGGGTCCCTGCTATTCTCTGAGCTTGGTGGTTTTCTGGCAGACGTTTCATTCTCCAACTAGGTCAGTGCTAGGAGGAGGGCATCAGTGTGGAGGACCCCAGACGCAAGGCATTCTGGGTCTTGCAGTTCTGCAACGCATGCACGCCAGGAATGCAGAACTGGCTCAGGTAACAGGTAAAACGTTTAGGATACAGAGTAAGAGAGTTGGAAGGAACCTAAGAGGTCTTCTAGTCCAACCCCGGGATGACCTTTTTTTAAAAAAAACAACTTTTCTTACTTTTTGTCCTTCCTGGGAGCTGCGTCGGCCTAGCTGTGTTCAGATCCAATCCTAGGACATCCGGGGGGTCCATGGGATTTCCCAGGTACAAGCTGCAGAAAAGGGATGATGGGGGGGGGGGGAGAGAGAGAGAAAAGTTGAAACAACCTATTTATTTGTGGCATTCTCTGATCCTTCTTTCCTTTCCCTGGTTAGTTTGGAGCACATATACCCTGTTTCTCCAACAATACGGCCTCCCCCAATAGGAAGTCCCAGCATGTTTTATAGGCATGAAATGAAATTAAGCCCCTCCCCACAAATTAAGGCCTATATTAAAACATGCGGAATGGTGGGGGGGGCTTGCCGTTAGGAAGTACTTTTGTTGCACACCCGGATATGGTGCTGCCTGCGTTGACCCCGATACGAAGTGCCCCACCAACGCCGAGGTCAACATCCAAGCCGTCGCTGCCCGCCCACGCAAAGATGCAAGGGGGGGAAATTAAGTCACCCCCGAAAAGATGGCCTAGCCATTTTTTTCGGGGCTCAAAAAAAAATAAGACCCGGCCTTATTATATGAGAAACACGGTATAACATGGAGCTTCTAGCTCAGGGGGTTTGCAGAGTTGCTGTCCGGATGGGGTAGCTCACCTAGAGGAAAATGTATGCGTTTGGATGATATATATATCAGTAGCGCAGGGGAAAAGAGCAAATATAGTTTGGTCTACTGATTTAAGGTCTAGAAACCAGGAGACGGGGAGTTCTAGTTCCACCTTAGGCATGAAAGCTGGCTGGGTGACTTTGGGCCAATCACCAGGAGACGGGGAGTTCTAGTTCTGCGTTAGGTACAAAAGCCAACTGGGTGACTTTGGGCCAATCACCAGGAGATTGGGAGTTCTAGTCCCATTTTAGGCATGAAAGCCAGCTGGGTGACTTTGGGCCAATCACCAGGAGATGGTGAGTTATAGTTCCGCGTTAGGTACAAAAGTCAACTGGGTGACTTTGGGCCAATCACCAGGAGATTGGGAGTTCTAGTCCCATTTTAGGCATGAAAGCCAAATAGGTGACTTTGGGCCAATCACCAGGAGACGGTGAGTTCTAGTCACACCTTAGGCATAAAAGCCAGCTGGGTGAGCTTGGGCCAATCACGAGGAGACAGGGAGTTCTAGTTCTGTGTTAGGTACGAAAGCTGGTTGGGTGACTTTGAGCCAGTTCCTAACTCTTAGCCCAACCCACCTCACAGGGTTGTTGCTGTGGACAAAATAGGAGGGATGGAGGAATATTAGATATATTCCGTCTTGAGTTATTTATACAAATAATAAAGACAGGATAGGTAGATGATAGATAGATAAGAGACAGAAAGGAAGGAAGGAGGGAAGGAGGAAGGACGGAAAAGGCTTCCTTCCTTCCTTCCCTCCCCTTCTTCCCTTCCCCATCTCTCTCTTTCAAATTAATAGTTTGAAAGTAAACTCATTTGTCAGAATAGAGCTGGAAGGGGACCTTGGAGGTCTTCTAGTCCAACCCACTGCTCAAGCAGCAAACCCCATACCATGTCAGACAAGTGACTGTCCAGTCTCTTCTAAAAAAAAACTCCAGTGATGGAACATCCACAACTTCTGGTGGCAAGCTGTTCCACTGCTTAATTGTCCTTGCAGTTTGGAAGTTTCTCCTTAATACCAGGTTGCTTCTCTCCTGGATTAGTTTCCATCTCCTTCCTTCCTTCCTTCCTTCCTTTCAGAATCATAGGCCTGCAGGGGACCTCAAGAGGTCTTCTAGTCCAACCCCCTACTCAAGCAAGAGGCCCCATACCATCTCAAACAAGTGGCTCTCCAGTCTCTTCTTAAAAAGCCTCCAGTGATGGAGTACCCACAACTTCTGGTGGCAAGCAGTTCCACCGGTTAATTTCTCTCTCTCACTCTTACGAAGTTTCTCCTTCATTCCAGATTCCCTAATACATGGCTCACCGGTGACCAAACCAACCAAACTTCTGGCTTTGCGCAACACCCCCGGCGCCATAAAACACGCCCCGTTTTGCACAATATGCTGAAAGAGCAACCCAACACCCAGCCACACACACACACACTCATTGTTCACCCTGAATCCAGGGTTGGGAAACCTAGAGGCAAGTTTGTGGCCTGAAAAATATATATATATATATATTTTGTGTTGTCGGTTGTGGGTCACCCAAGGCTGTTTGCGACGAACCAGTTGGACAGGCCATCCAAACGCTGGTTTTGGGTGGCTCAGCCCTGGGGGGGTGCAAACCACACAACCACACGCTCAACAACTTATTGGCAGCAGGCCAAGCTCAACGCAACCCAACCCAACCCAGCCAGAGTTGTGCAACGACAAGGTGGCTTAGGGGTGTGCGCAACTCGGGCGGCCAGAAAAAAAAAAAAAAAAAAAACACCAAACGCCCACGCCCCAAACTTATGGCCGGCCGACATATCTTTCGTTTCATCAATAAAAGCCGGTGTGAAAGGTAAGGATTTGTCTCGAGGAAGGAAACCGCCTTCCTACACAGGATGTGGTGGATGGGGTAGGGGGGGACAGAATAATGGCACGTCCTGCCCATGCAGATTTCGCACCCAGGGCAAACGGCAGCGACGTGTGGGCGCAGGAGCGAGTCGTTGAGTGTCTTGGAAAGGAAGTGAAGCAAAAGGTGTGTGTGGGAAGGAATCTCAAAGGTTCTTTTCAGGAAAAAGACCAAGTACAAAAAAAAAGTTTGTGGAAGCTGCACAAACAGAGACAGTTCTCGCTCGGCGGTTGCTTTTTCTGCGCACAAAAGTTCCTTTATTTTTCAGGAGAAATAAAAGCCTATTTGGCTCCCCCCCCCCCGTTATACTTACTCATCAATCTTATCGGGGAACCCCCAGCTCTGCTGAGGGTTGGTGTCGCCATGGCCCGTGTGGATGAAGCTGTTCTTGAGTGGCTGGCTGATGTCGTGGGCGGACAATCCCGCCACGGAAGTCACCGTGTTGCGTGGGAATTGACCCACCTTCAGCGTCCGCTTATTCTGGCCGCGCCACCAGTAATTCTCCGCCCTGGGGGGGGGGGAAAGACAGAACCAGGTTAGCGGAAAGACCGAAGCAAAGGAAGTTTAGGTTTGATGGGTGGGTCCCTTCCTTAAACTGGGATCCCCCCCCACTCCAAGATTTTGGAGATGGGGTCCACACACATCTGGGTTTGTTTGTTTGTTTTTTGCCAGGTTGGAGAACAGTGGCCCATCACAGTTAAATTGAATTTACCCTCTTCCTTTTTTTAAAGATGGCTCTGTTGATCAAGAGGACTAGTGACATGGAGTAGGGTTCACATTTTAGTACCAAAGATTCTTAAAGCAAATCAATCAATCTTCTATCTATCTATCTATCTATCTATCTATCTATCTATCTATCTATCTATCTATCTATCATCTATCTATCTGTCTGTCTGTTTGTCTATATTTCTTTCTATTTATCTAATTTCTATCTATCTATCTATCTATCTATCTATCTATCTATCTATCTATCTATCTATCTATCTATCTTATTTCTTTCTATCTATCTATCTATCTATCTATCTATCTATCTATCATCTATCTATCTATCTATCTTATTTCTTTTTATTTATCTAATTTCTTTCTTTCTATCTATCTATCTTATATCTGTCTGTCTGTCTGTCTGTGTCTGCGAAATGCCACTTGCGCCTCATCGCAAAATCTCCAAAACCGTAAAGCCTACAAACCTGAAATCTGGCACATAGGGTTCCTCTTGACTTCTAGGGGCTCACTAAGAAAAGATTTTTCAAAATGACCATCGGATCATTAGTATTTCATTAGCATTTCTTATACAGCAATTAACACGCTCTGATGCTAAGGAGTGCTACTCCCTCTCCCCACCTGAAAAGAAATCTCTTCCAAATGAAAAACATAAGCAGAGGAGTTTTAGTTTCAGAGCAGCAAGCAGCTTTAGTACAGAGCAGTTGAGCTAAGCCACGCCCAGGCTCCTTGCTGTCTCCTTGCTGAAACAGCAAATACTCTTTCAGTTTCCAAACAGCCCTCAGCTCTCTCACACACTGACAGGACGCTAGCCAGGTGAATACCGATGGATGCTGGTAGGCAGAGGCAGAATTTTTCCCCCTTTATTTTGTCCCCAAAAACTAAGCCCACATAGTTTCGTAGCGAAGCACGGGGATCGAGTTTATACTCGAGTTTATCTTTATGCTAAGATAAAACCAGAGGCTTTTTTCTTTGGGGTTCCACGGAAAAAGATTTGGAACAAAATATGGGGACTCGGGGAAGGCTTGCCTCTTTCCAGATCTCAACACAAATTGCATCTGTTTCAGACATACGACAGGAACGAGCACACATACACAAACCTACTCACACACAACCCAGCGCCTTTTGCATCTGACGCCCGACGACAACGACCGGCCCTAGAGACCGCATTCACACAACAACATGGCCATCTCGATCGGGTCCAGCCCTCCGTTGGCTGGCTTGGGACTACAGATAGTTCTCGACTTAAGACTATGACGGAGTCCAAGGTTTCCATCGCTAAGCAAGATGATGGTTAAATGAGCGTTGCTCCGTTTTATGACTTTCCCCGCCACCGTGGCTACGTGAATCCCTGCTGTTAGCAACTTAGTTGTCCAGTGAATCTGCTTGTCAGAAGGTCGCTAAAGGAGACGGTGCGACCGTCATAAGTATGAGTCAGTTGTCAAGCATCCAAATTTTGATCGTGGCACCATGGGGATGCTGGAACGGTGGGGTGAAAAGCCATCATCAATCTCTTTTTCCCCCGCAGTGCCATCACTAAACAAACGGTCGTAAATTGAGGACTACTGAGAAAACCACCAGGGGTGGTTGCGCTCTAAAGCAAAGAAATTTTGGAACAAAATAAGGATTTGACTGCAAGAAATAACTGGGCGGGGAAAAATAGAACTTATACCTGAAATGTTGCTATTAGGGATAATCAGAGGTGATTACAAGAAAGAAATTGAAGGCATAATAATTCATATATTGACAGCAGCTAGAATAACCTATGCTCAAAACTGGAAATCAAGACAGTAGTCCCATATAAATCAGATAACAGATAATTAGAGTGGGAAGGGACCTTGTAGGTCATCTAGTCCAACCCCCTGCCCAAGCAGGAGACCCTACACCATTTCTGACAGATGGGAGTACAATATCTTCTTGAAAGTCTCAAGTGATGACGCTCCCACATCTTCCGAAGGCAACTTCTGTTCTTTACAGATGAACAGAGCTGGAAGGGACCTCGTTAGGTCATCTAGTCCAACCCCCCGCCCAAGCGGGAGACCCTACACCATTTCTGACAGATGGCAGTCCAGTCTCTTCTTGAAGGTCTCAAGTGATGAAGCTCCCACAACCTCCGAGATCAACTTCTGTTCCACGGGTGGATTGTTCTCCCTGTCAGAAAGTTTCTCCTTATTTCCAGGTTGAATGTCTGCTTGTTCAGTTTCCACCCATTATTCCTTGTCTGGCCTTTGAGTGCCTTGGAAAATAGCTTGACCCCCTTCCTCCTCTCTGTGGCAGCCCCTCAAATATTGGAATAGTGCTATCCTGTCTTCCCGGTCCTATATATAATTCAATCAATATGGAAAAGCCGACGTCACAACGTATTGCAAAAATGGTAAACGTGATTTGTTTTTAAAATGGTCAAACTTTAATCAAATTTAATAAAAAAAAAGATCAGAAAAGAAAACCACCAAGGGACCAGATCAGACTGGTGATGATCAGGTTTTTGCTGGCCAAAAATTCAGCCAGCTGATTTGCGATTTGGAAAAAAAAAAAAAAAGGGGGGGGGGGGAGAGCATCTCCCAAATAAACCATGGTTTGCCCACAGACTAATCCCGGGATTGTCTTAAGGAGCTCCTGTGCATGCAGGAAGCCCTTTCCTCTCCTTCTCTGCCCACGCCGAGGAAATGAGTTGGCAAGGCTTGTCAGGAAGGTAAACAGGAAACTTGGGCAGAGCCAGCCGGCCGGCCCCACGAAGAATGACTCACAGGTAACCTCAGGAAACCACCTCCCCCGGGAGGAACCAGGGCTGCTGTGGGGCACAAATGACCAGCTGTCCACCAGCTCTCTCTTCCCCCAACAGTCAGGAGTTTGCCAAAAAAACCAAAATAAATAAAAGAACAGCATTTGATCCGGAGCTTCAGTTATTTGCAAGCAGAACATTTGATTTTGTTTTTGTCAGTTTCAGGGGGGGCTCCTGAAGACGGTTTCTAGTATCCCCCAGTGTGCCAGAAACACGGGGCTGCCCGGGACTGCAAAGGGACTCCTTATCGGCCTCTATTCCTTTGCTCCCTATATTTTATCCATTTAATTCAGCCTCTCCCCCAAAGCCTTGGGAACTTTTAAGGTGTGCAGACTTCAACTCCCAGAATTCCCCAGCCAGCTAGGCCGGATTCTTTCTCTCTTTCTCACTAAAGTGGAGCGATTGCAGAGAAAGGGATTACAAGAGAGCAACTAAAGCTATGCTGGCTGGGGAATTCTGGGAGTTGAAGTCCAAATATCTTAAAAGTTCCTGAAGTTGGTGAATAATGATTTAGGGAGTGTGTGCAAATGAACAAAATAAGTGTCAAATCAAAACTCTGCCCTTTTTTTTCTATAAGGAGTAACGAGTGTTTCACTTGCCATGGCTCTTTTGACTTTTTTGACCTCCCTTGCCTCAAATACCCCTTTGCTTAACCTGCCCTGTTAAAAATTTGCAGCGCTAATGATTGACTAGGAGTGGAACTGGAGGAAGAGATAGTGAAGGGACCAATGATAGCTTGGGCGAAGAACATACGCCGTAATATAAAATTAGATGATTGGGAAAGGTTATGGACCAAAAAAATTACAAATTAACATTGTCAACAGCGTACAAAGAAAATCAGTATAAAATGTTCTATAGATGGCATTTTTTTTAGCCCCAGCAAGATTGGCAAAATATATCCAAATACAAAATCAAGAGTGTTGAAAATGTGAACAAAAAGATGGAACGGTTTTTTCACGCGTGGTGGCAAACGCCCCAAAGCTAGAAAATATTGGATGAAGATAGAAAGATGGTTACAGGAGATAGCAGAACATCAAGTAGAATTTAAACCTGAAATATTTTTTTATTGGGAATAATTAAAGGGAAATTTAGCCAACAAATCCAATACATCATATTGCATATAATAACAGCGGCGAGGATAGTTTTTGCACAGGGTTGGAAATCAGAAAGCATACCACCCAAAGAGGTGTTGATGCAACAAAAATCAGAATGTGTGGAGATGGACAAACTTACAACAGAAGTAAAAGGCAAGGGAGGAATCAGAATACTACGCGGTTTGGGATAGATGGTATAAGTGGATAGAATTTGATTGCTTATTGTACCCTATGACTATCACTGTTGTACCTTATGATGCTTGACGAATATATTTTTCTTTTATGTATACTTGGAGTATTTGCACCAAGACAAATTCCTTGTGTGTCCAACCACACTTGGCCAATAAAGAATTCCATTCCATTCTATTCTAGAACATAGGAATAAGGATTAATGTATAGAAATAGGAATAGGAAGTTGTGGGAGTGCCATCATTTGAGACTTTCAAGAAGAGACTGGACTGGCATCAGTCAGAAATGGTGTAGGGTCTCCTGCTTGGGTGGGGGGTGGGGGTTGGACTAGATGACCTACAAGGTTCCCTTCCAACTCTGTTCATCTGTTAAACATCTGTTTGAAATAAATGTAAATATATGTAATATCGATGACACAATACTGTTAACAATGTAAATAGAGATGTGTAATTTTAAAAATAAATAATAATAATAAAATTTGCAGCGTTGGCTGCAAAGACGTTAAGCTTGGTTAGCCTTAAACCCAGTTTGTTTGTTTTTTTTGAGGCTTGGAGCGTTCGGCTTGATCGCTTTCTGAGTCAGCAAACAGGTTGATCTGCACCCAGGTAGAGTGCCTTGGGGGAAGGCAGCTCTACTAGTTTAACTGGAGCTGAAAAGGACAACTCGCCAACGACACTCACCCGGAGTTTCTCCTCCCTTGATGTTCGAAGCTACAACGGCACC